ATAGAGATAAAATATATAGTTAGTGATCGATGTCCACCTGTTAGTATAAAATATATAAAAAAATTAATTTATTTTGTCTTTTAGACTCATGTTTTATTTTGGTATGAAACAGAATTGGTATGAAATATATTACAGCTAAGTGTTTAATTTATTGTTCATGTTTTATACAAGATTCATTCATTAATCATACAAATAAAATTCATTCCAATTTAATATATAAGATAGTGTTCATATTAGTGATAATTATATAAGGTAATTATGGTATGCATTTGATATCCTAATAGCAGTTGATATTATTTAATGTAAGTTTAAATGAGTATTAATTTGGTATCCAACTGATGTCCTACTCTAAATCAAAATAAAACAAGATGTAATTAGTGTTGGTGCAAAAGTTAATGATCGTTGTTTTAGATTGTCAGATTCGTTTCTTCCAGTATTTATACAAATTGTATATCAATTTCATACATCTTTAAAGTACTTAATTCATGCTTGTTAAGAGAATATAATTTACAATTAGTGATAATTTGGTATCCATTAGGTGTCCAACTTGAATAAATATAAAACAAGATGTAATTGAGGTTGTTACAAAATACAATGATCACTATTTTACATTGGCATAATCATATCTTCAAGGTATTTATACAGGTTGGATACCAACTTCATTCATTTTTTATTTTTTATTTTTTGTGTTAGAATATGAAGTAAAAAAAATCAATCAATCATGAATTTGGATGTCATAAGTGTACAGTGGGGATACCAATTATAAGACAAAGTTGGCTCATGAACTATAAATTGATATTCTTTTTGTTTCTAGTTAGTAATACGCAGTAATATCAGTAAGTCTAAATGCTGAATCCAATTGGTATACAATTTATATATAACTGTCATCCCGAAAACTGTTATACTCAATGTGTAATATATCTTCCAAATGGTGTATCCAAATGGTATGCAGTCTATATATTACTAGTATCCTGAAATTATAATAGTCAATCAGTAATTCATATGTAGCTGGTATCTGACTGGAATAAAACAGTGGATATTATATATCATTAAATACTAAAACACAAAAATATTGTCCAAAAGTTAAAAAAAAACATGTAATTCTAAAAAGTAGAAGGTGCAATCAACTATCTCAAATTTCTTTTCTGTGGTCTTGGTGTAGGATAATTGCTGGTATCCGGAGCATGTTCTTTTGCTATGCGAGGTCCACCAAATTTACTAGCAACCATACTAGTTACTTCACTCTCACTGATCGCACCATCCTCATTCTTTGTTTTTTCATAATGTCATATGATTGTGGCATACCTTTGACGATGGTACTTTGCATCGATATCAACAGAACGCATATCAAAAGCACCATTACTGATGTATTCAACAAATAGACATGTGTACAAACCACAATCACTAAAAAATTTAAAGAAAAATCATTTTAAGAAATAAATTAAGTTAACTTTTTAGATGAAATCAGTAAAGTAACTCAGGTAGTAATCTTTCCTTTCTTCCCCTTTCATCATGCTGGCCTAAGACGCATCTCATGGAGTTTTCCGTGACCCAGAGGTATAGCAAGAGGGTTCTTCCCTTAATAAAAAAGTACCAAGACCGGAGAATAAAAAAGATAGGTCTTAATCTTCTCGAAAGCACTCTGCATAGTCAGTTTAGGGCATCGTTCTACTCATTTTCTTCTTCCTCAAGAGCTTGAAAATGGGCTCGCAAAAGGGAGTGAGCTGTGCGACGAACCTGCTGATATACTACCCAAGAATCCTCAAGAAATACATACTTGGAACTATCTTTTTGTTGAGGCACATGCATCATATGAATAATATGAAAATAAATTAAATATAGTACTTACCCTAACAATTTTTTTGTCTTTTTTAGATATTGGGATTTCTGATTCTTTTTTGTTGTTCTTCTTGTTGATGATTTTGAAGATTGAACAACTTCTACATTTGTTGCTTTTTTTTGTTTTTTTCTTTTTTATTTCACTAACAAAATCAAAATTAGAATCAGAAGGAGTTTCTACAATTCTCCCCCTCCTCTTCTTTTCCTTTTGATTTGCCGGACTCACCCTTTTCTTTGCTTCGTTTTTTTTCTCATTTTGATCCTTAAAGTGAGAGGAACCACCCTTTGCTGAAGTTTCAACATTTTTTGGCGACGGGGTTTGAGTCAATATATTAAAAGTTGGAGCATGTACTTCATCTGTATAAGTTCCTTCAACTAACCGAGGACTCTTTCGAGACGTTTCAATAATTTTCTTCGACATGATGATGATGAGAAACAGAACGAGAGGGGTGATTGTGAAGTTGGGGTAGTGGGGTGGTGAGAAAGATGGGAGGGACAATTGTGAATATGGGTAGTGGGGTGGGGAGAAAGATGGGAGGGACGATTGTGAATGTAGGGTAGTGTTGTGGTGGCGTGTAGTATTGGTTAGGCGTGGGGGGGGGGGATTAACGTATGAGAGGTTTGGAGTGTAACGGTAGTCAAGGAACTTTAATCAATGTAAATCTCTAAATTTGTGTAACTGATAATTTCTGTTTTAAAAAAGGAATTGCAATCAAATTAATTAACTATTAATAATTAATAATATAAAAATACAAAGAGATTAATCATTTATTAAATTAAATCGTAATTAATTTTTAAATAAACTTAAATTTAATTGATATGTTATAACCCGTAAATAAACTGTTATAAGTAAGAACTTTTTAAGAATATGTTTAAAATTCGTAATAGTGTCTCTTAAATGTGTATATAGTGTGATTTTTTTCAAAAATTAATGCTCTTTACCAACATGTTTTTAAAGAATATCAATCTTTTGTCAGGTTATGACAAAAATAAAATGATTGTGCAATAATAATAATAAGAAAAATCTTTTTGATCAGAAAAATTTGGCTATAATTTTGCCAGAATGGTAAAAGGACATTTTCACACTATAAACTAGTTTGTTTTTGGACATTTTTGCCCTTTAATTCAAATATTAAATATATTCTTCAATTATGTTTCCAATGCATTGAAAATGATTGATGAGATTAATTATTTATAATTTCATAGTTAAACATTAAAAATGAACCACAAAATCCATCAAAGAAAACATAAGTTTCACCCACTCTTCTCTCTTGAAATTTTCAAGATTTAAAAAAAAAAAAAATTTAAACAAAATTTAAAAATGTAAGCGTAGTAGTAAAAAACTACATAATAAAAAAAGTAGTAAAAATATATCTCTTTTTCAGTTTAAAAAATTCCTCCTTTTTACTTATTCTTTTTTGTTTATTTATTTTCCATTTCTTATTTCTTAATGATAAAAAGAGAAAATTTAAAAAGTATAAAAAAGGAGTAAAGTGTAGATGATCTATTTTAGTTTATAACTAGTGAATTTGATCGCGCTTCGCGTGATTATGAAATATTGAGTGCTACAAAATTATACTAAGAGTCTTAGTTCAATTTATTATTCCTGCTCAAATTTTGTGATTTTTACAATTTTAAATTATTTATGGGTCTTTGTTCTTCGGAAGATTTTCCTTAAATAATGTGTTTAATAACCAAAATTATTTATATATAATAGTAATATAAGAAAAATATAACTTCAAATATGAAATAAAAAGGATAATTTTGAGTAGGGGTCTTATGAAACAATAAATTATGAATTTATGTAGATAAAATGGAGATTTCTTTAAAGAAAATATAAATAATTCTTTATACAATTAAAAGAATGTATTTCAATAATTAATATATATATTTCTTGAAAATCATTAATAGTTTTGTTTGAGCCTTCATTAGTAGTAAATATATTTCCGACATTGTTGTATTACATCTAAATAAAAATACAGACTTACGATAATTAAAAAATCATAAGAAGCCAAACTAAAACAGTTAATTACATGAAGATAATACATATCTTTCTTAGGGTCTTAATCGTATAAAAAAAAGATGATGAAATTAAAAATACAGATTTAATGCACAAATTTTTGATACTATAATATTATTATTATTATTATTATAATAATAATAATAATAATAATAATATAAGGAACTATAAAATAAGTAATATCTTTGAGTAGGAATATATCTTATGAAACAAAAAATGGTGAATTTATATAAGACAAAATAAAGGAATATCATAAAGTATCTTAAATTTTATAATTAAATATCATGA